GGGTGCCCTATATCAGGTGCCCTTTTGTTGTGGCGGCATTGCGACCGAGTTCGTTGTGTGGTGATCTCACCAAAGGATATGCTTGTGGCGGTCTAATGAGAGAATTCCTTGCTGCGCCGTCGGACGCAGAAATGTTGGCAGCCCTCGCAGAAATTCAAAGCAATGAAAGCTGTGATAACACAACAACAAAATCATGGTAGCCAGCGTGGACCCCAAACAGTAAGCTCTTGCAATAGATAAGCGATTCAGTCCAAGTGGTGCAATCTAGGTGGTGCAGTCCACGTTGTGCAATCGACGTGGCACACAGCAGTTCAAAGCGATGCGAAGCTGTGCAGTGCGATGCAACGCGATGCAGAGCGATGCGAAGCGATACGAAGCAGCGCAGAGCAGTGCAAAGCAACGCGGCGGCGACGGGCGGCGAGGAGCGGGCTGGACCGACACCTGGACCCAGTTACTCTAGCAGTGGCGAAGCGTCCTGGCTCGCCGTAAGGCTTACCAAAGAATGTTCTAAGAACCGTATGTGGTTTCAAAGAACTGTTCTTAGAATATTTCTGGTTGGTGCTGTCTTAGTTTAACACATCAGGTTCATGTTCTAAGAGCGTGGTTTGTGTTCTTAGAACATTTTGGGGTTCTAAGAGCATTTCGTGGTAGACCTATAGGAATGCCGGGACGGTCGGTCCCTGCTCAAGTTACTTGAGAACATAAATAAGAACCCTTATGTGCAAACATTGTCTGTTGGGAACATGCAGGCGAGAACATGTAAGAGCACAGAGTGTAGGATGACCGTCCTTGCATCTCGTTGTGTTGTCAGTGTGTACCTTGTTGTTGTTGTTGTGTTATTTGCCTTCTGCAAGGGCTCCAAAAAATGGCCTTACAAAGGGATGCCTTTGGTGGCTGTCCTAGGCTCAAAGGATCCCTGCTAGGGCGGCGTTACAAAAATGAATCCTTCTTGGGCGGCCTTACAACATTCATGTTGTTGTGGCGGCCCCCTTGCATGAGGATTCATTGTGTGGCGAGTTTACACAAAGATTCCTTGCGCGGCGGCTTTCAACAGGATTCCTGCTGCGGTGCCCTCAAAACATGCCGTGTGTCGTGGTTGCCTTCTGGGGGTGGCGGGCATCACACGAGCAGTTCTCTTGTAGAGAGCCTCTGGAGAAGCCAACGGGCACGGCTCAAGAAACCCGACCCTCCCCCCCGCACCCTTCTTCCAGATGGAGTTGGCGGCGGTGGGGGAAGCGAGGTGCGAAGGTCAGCCGCAAAGCTCGAAAGCCGGGCAAGGGCTGCTCAATCCGTGGCTGCTAAAATCGACCTCCGGGAAGTTGTTGTCGTCCTTCCGGGAAGAAGCCCGTGGACTGTGTCGCGTGCCGCGCCTCGCTCCAGGAAGTTGTGTTTTCCTTCCGGGAGGGCGGGAGGGCCGTTTTAGCAGCTGCGGTTTTAGCAGCCCTCGCCCAGCTTCCGAGAAGCTGCGAGGGCAGCGCTCCGCCCTGCGCGGCCTGGGCACGAGGGTCGCCACCTACCAGAGCACCCCAACCCAACCGGAAGGCCTCAATTTGCCCTCCATTTCCAGTGGGGGGGGGGTCGGAGAACGTTGAAAAAACACATGGAACCCGTACCCCCCCCAACCCGAAATTCGGGTCAAATTTGGGTCTTCGGGTTGGGTTGGGGTGGTCTGGTAGGTAGTCAGAGGGCCGCCCTCCTCAGGCGGGCGGCGCGAGGGGGCGAAGGCGCCCGTCGCTCGCGGCTGCGCGCGCCTCGCGCCCGCACGGAGCGCGCAGCGGGGTGGCCCTCCTCCTCCTCCTCCTCCTCCTCCTCCTCCTCCTCCTCCTCCTCCTCCTCCTCCTCCTCCTCCTCCTCCTCCTCCTCCTCCTCCTCTCTCCTCCTCTCTCCTCCTCTCTCCTCCTCTCTCCTCCTCTCTCCTCCTCTCTCCTCCTCTCTCCTCCTCTCTCCTCCTCTCTCCTCCTCTCTCCTCCTCTCTCCTCCTCTCTCCTCCTCTCCTCCTCCTCCTCCTCCTCCTCCTCCTCCTCCTCCTCCTCCTCCTCCTCCTCCTCCTCCTCCCTCCTCCTCCTCTCCTCCTCTCCTCCTCCTCCTCCTCCTCCTCCTCCTCCTCCTCCTCCAGGAGGGATCGGAGGGCGTCGACGTCGCACGGGCACCGACCCTGCGCCGAGGCCGATGCTGCGCCGAGGCATGGTCCCGGCCAGGGCCGCCTGCAGGTGTGCAGAAGGCGTCCGCCTGGACTTGCCCAGCGCGCCCGGCTTCGGACTGGGCCGACCCGGAGCAGCCAGCAAAGGTAAGGAGGAGGAGGAGGAGGAGGAGGAGGAGGAGGAGGAGGAGGAGGAGGGGAGAAGGGACAGAGAGGGAAGGAGAGGAGAGATACACAAGAGTGAGAGGAGGGGCTGGAGTCACGCACATCCTCAGTGGGATAGTTCTTGACGCAAAGTCCTTGATTCTAGCCAGACTTTGCAGTACTACGCGGAATTTATTGCGGGCTCAGAACTATTGTGTGTCTTCGTCCTGGCCGTGTTCGTTGGTCTGCTGATCATATCGTTTCAATGGCAGTTTGTCACTGTCACTGCTGGGATCCAGTCACATTATTGATCAGGCTTGCTTGCTCGCCACCAGTCCCTCACTGGTTGGTGCATCCTTTTTCCCGGGCTCCGCCTTCTCAGTCGCCCCCAGCAGCTTGAATGATATTTCCACACTCGTAGCCGTATGAACATCACTGATCCTTGATCCGCCAAGCCCATTTCGTCGTACTCTGCGCCAGGACTGGGGCGAGATCGCCGCCTTCTTCGGCTACAGCGAGGATGCTGCCAGGTCGCGCGAGCGAGAGACCTCTGCGACGCTCTCCGAGCGAGACGAGACTCACCAGGAAGCCCCTGGACGCCACTGGATGCTGGGAGCGGGGCCTTGCGTAATTTTCCAGGGATCGTGGCTCTGGGAGCGCAGACGCTGCGTCATTCATGATGGGTCGTGGTCCTTGGAGCGCGGACGCAGCGTCATCTGAAACCTTGAATGTCGCACTCTCGCCTTTTCGGGCTCCCGACGCTTCACGACGGCCCACGAGGCTCCCAAGCTGGCCCAAAGATAGCCCAACAGGCCTTTAAGAGAGCCCCCAGACGGCCCAAGAGAGCCCCGAGACGGCTCGAGAAGCTGGGTGGCCCGAAATTGCTCCAAGAAGACCCCAAGACGCCCCCAGTCACCTCCAGGGGGTCCCGGAGGTCTGAGCAACCTGCAGCAGGACAAGCCAGATGTCCCCAAGAGGGTCACGTTGCCAGTGGCACATTCTCGATTCCATCCGCTCTCTGCGGTGCCAGATCTCTGGGCAGGCCAGGGGGGCCGCTCCAGGAGCATCTCCCTGCACCGTGCGAGCCGCTGAGTCTGTCTCGGGGGACGCTTGTGGTAATTTCACGGCGCATCTCTCTTTCCCTTCACGTTGCCAGTTGTACAGTTTCGGTTCCATCGCGTCTCTACGGTGCCTGATCTTCGGGCAGGTCTGGGCCGCTCCAGGTCAATGCCTCTGCACAGAGCAAGCAGATGGTGAAAGACAAGTTGCCCATATCCTTGACGCTTAGGGGGAGCAGGGGGGCACAGGGGGGCCAGGAGTGAGGGGGAGGGCGTGGGGGCTTGGGGTCCGGAGGGCCTGGGGGCGGAGCCAGGGGAGGGGACCGAAGAACGAACGAGCGCACGAGCCACGCGATTCAATGGCCCCGGGCCAGGGCCTGGGGGGCCAAAGGTCAGGAGTCCGTAGGGCGGGGTCAGGAGGGCCCGGGGGCGGAGCCGCTGGGAAGGGCCGAGAAGCGAACGACAAGCGCACGAAGGAAGGGAGCAGGAACTGAAGGGGCCCCGGGGCCAGGGCCTGGGGTCTGGGGCCAGGAGGATCCGGGGACGGAGCGAGGAGGGCGTTGGGGCAGAACCGGGGGGGGGAGCCGACGAAGACGCGAGAGAGCAAACGAGCCAGGGAAAGGAAGGCCCACGGTGCCAGGAGGGCTTGGGGGCGGAGCCGTGACGAGAGGGCAGACGACCGGTCGAACGAACGAGGCACGAGAGTGAAGAGCTCCGCGCGGGGGGGCTGGGGCCAGGAGGACCTGGGGGCTGGGCCAGGAGGGCGAGGAGGAGGAGGAGGAGGAGGGCCAGGAGGGAGAGGAGGAGGAGGAGGAGGAGAGGAGGAGGAGAGGGAGGGAGGGAGGGAGGGAGGGAGGGAGGGAGGGGGGGGGGACAGAGCACGGGGCTCTGGACCGGCAGGGGCAGGGGTCCGAAGTGCAGAGCGAGTGCCTCGCCAGCGACGCCCCGCCGATCTGGCAGCGGCACGGGCGAGCGCCCCGCGCCTCGGCCGCGCCTCGGCGGCCCACCCCCCCGGGGGGCGGCTGGCTCGAGACATCCTCCAGATCCGTTTCCTGGCGGCTCCTCCTTACTCCGAGTTTCTTCATAGGCGTCGGGGGGGGGGGCGCCACCCCCGCCGACAGCCCCACATCGACCCCCGTCGCGGGCAGCCACCGCGCGCCGAAGGCGCTCCGACCCCCGTCGCGGCGCGACGACGAGGCGAGGTTGACCCCCGTCGGGGGGGGATCCCCCCACGCTTACGAAGAAACCCAGGGTCCTCTTGTGGCTCTCTTGGGCCGTCTTGGGACCATCTCGGGCCGCCTCGGGGCCATCTCGGGCCGTCTCGGCGGCGCCCCGGGCCACCTCGGCGACCCTGGCTGCCTGCTTCGGCCTGCACGATAGTAAAGATGGAGCAACTTTCCAAGGCTACCCTTGCATCCTTGCCCCTTCGGTATTCGGGATCCTTCGGCATTCTGCTGCGCTCCGCACGGAAAATGTCAACATGGCGTTCCAAGGCCCTTGCATCCTTATCCCGCATCCTTACTATCCTGGTCGAGTGTAGTGTTGCGTGTGTGTTGGCGCGCGCGCGTGCGCGCGCCCCTCCTCCCCCTTCTCCTGAGGACCCCTCGGCTCCGCAGCGGGAGCCCCTGCGAGCCGCGCGAGCCCGGCCATGATCGCCGATGAGCTCGGCGCGCCCACTGGCCCCGACGGCACCCCCCCCACCTGGCGGCAGCCTCGACCGCTGGGGAAGAGGAGCGCGGGAGGGGAGGGAGGGAGGAGAAGGAAGGGGAGGGAGGAGGGAGGCGGGACAAGGAGGAGGGAGGAGAATGAAGGGGAGGGAGGAGGGAGGAGAATGAAGGGGAGGAGAATGAAGGGGAGGGAGGAAGGAGAATGAGGGGGAGAGGGAGAGCGAGAGAGGGAGAAAGGGACAGTCAGAGCGTGCTGATCGTGCCGAGTACGCCCCCCCCCCTCCCCCGGACCCCCCACGCCCCACGCCTCGTGAGCATGGGAGGTGCGGCATGTCCAAACCGCCTCGAGAAGCCGCAGAGATTTCTTAGATCCGAAAGGTTCGGGGCCTGACAGAACCCCCAAAAGTGACACGTCGATTAGTGAATTGTCCGTTTTTGGTTCTCGAGAAGGCGCCGTGGCCGTCATTTTCCAGGCTTGCGCCCGCCAGGTTTGAGCCCGAGGTCGTTTTCACTAAACCACGTTTTACTAAAGGGAGGTCTGTCCATCCCCGAAACAAGTTCATCGTATCTGAATGAGCAGGAGGGCCAGGAATCCCTTAGCGAAGAGCCAGCTCACACGATGTGTGCACTGCTGCCTCAGACGACCACTCCCACTGTCATATCAGAGGATATCCCCAAAGATGATGCCCACGAGCTTCGCCGACTTTCGTTTGTTGTGGTCCGGAACTCCTCGTCCGCCGCGAGTTGGCGCAAGGACCTGCTGACCTGCCTCGTCCTGGCTTGTCCGCGTCGGTCAAGCTTTGACGCAGCCTTTCATGCTGCACCAGCAGGGAGCTGACCAGACGGGGCTAGGACGAGGATAGAATCCGTTCCAGAGTGTTCCGGAACGCTCTCAGAGCGCTCCAGAACGCTCTGAGGAGGCCGCGGCGCCCGAGGATGCCGTCGGATCCCAGCGATGATCGCTTCATCCTCACCCGATGTTCTTATCGTCCTGGCTTCGTCTCAGCTTTAGAGAGTCCAGGGTTCGCTTGGGACTGGTTTCTTTTCAAAGCAGCCGAAACATTCCTGAAACCCTCCGAAAACCCTCCGGGAAGGGTTCCGGTAGGGTTTTCGGAGGGTTTCGGGAGGGTTTGGGAGTGGATTTCGCTGTTTGGGAGGAAACCAGTCCCTGGCGAACCCGGGGCTCTCTAACCTTAGCTTGTGCCTCGGCCGCAAGGCCGCGGCGAGCCGGCCCGAGCTCCGAGTTCGATGGGCCCTGCGGAGGCCCCCGGATTGCGCCCGGCGCCTTGGGGGTGCGGTGCGGTGCTGGTGTGGGAAGGCGCCAATTCCTCGGCGGCGAGCCCAGGGGGGGAGCGGCATCCTCCTCCTCCTCCTCCTCCTCCTCCTCCTCCTCCTCCTCCTCCTTCTCTTCTTCCTCCTCCTCCTCCTCCTCCGCCTCCTGCCCCCCTGCCTTCCATCCCCTTACTTCGTTCATCCTCATCCTGAGGGGGCATGCCTTCTCAGAGATCCCGAGGCTCCAGCCTGCCCAGAAACGTGCGGATTCCTGGTCGCCGATCTATCGGCGATGTATCGCCGATTCCAGGTCGGTGTTTCCCTCCATGTGCCAGTCCCCCCCTGCCGTTGCCCCTCGGCCCAGCGGGGAAGCGAGAGGGGGTAGGCCTTCTCGGAAGGTGGCCAGGCTTCTCGGAGGCCCCCCTGGCATTCTGAGAAGCCTCCGCTGTCTTCGGAGGAGGCTCAGAAATTACCCGAGACGTACCCAACCCAGGGCTGGACCTCAACGGCGTTTTTGGTGATTTCGTGGGCCGTTTTCGTTTCGACTTCGTTTTGCGCTAAAGGCGGATTCGAGGCAAAAGCGAGGGAAAACGAAAACAAAACGAAAACGAAGAACACCGTTTAGGGTCAGCCCTGACCCAACCCCTTGGTCCACGTGAGGCGAATACTTCTATGAACGGTCCATGCAAAAAGCACACCTCGCCAGAGGTGCACGATCGACGCTGCCCTCGTCTCCGCCGTGCCTCCCCGGAGCCCACGGAAGGGGCGGCAGCTGCACAGTTCGTAGGCCTGCGAGGGAGCCGCGAGGTCTCGGCTGCATGCGCGTGGCCCCCGACCCCGCTGGACCTCCTCGGGAGCCCACGAGTCAGGAGGAAAAGAAACACACAGACACAATGAATCCTCGATTCCCCAGAAAATATAGGAAAAAATGTGGGAAGTGGGGGGGAAGACAGAAACCCAGAAAATGTGGGAAAATATTGGGTTTTTATGTGTGCGTGTATTTATTTCTGCGTCCTGGGGCCCCTTCAGCGAGGGCAGCGGCCGTTGCCCAGTCTGCCGCACCCCGGGCAGCGGCGGGGCCTCGTCCGGGCGCGCGCGGCCCCGGCCGCCGGGCCACGGGCGGCACCCTCCACGGCCGCCGGGCCGGGCGAGGGCGAAGCGCGCGGGTGAGGTCTGGGGCGGTGTGCGGGCACGTGGCCTCGGCGAGGGGCCAGAGGGTTCGGGTGTGAGGAGGAGGGAGGGAGGAGGGAGGGAGGAGGGAGGGAGGGAGGGAGGGGGAGGAGGGAGGAGGGAGGCGAGCGAGCGAGCGGGGGAGGGCGCGCAAGCACTGGAGGAGGAGCAAGAGGAGGAGGAGGGGGAGGAGGAGGAGGAGGAGGAGGAGGAGGAGGAGGAGGAGGAGGAGGAGGAGGAGGAGGAGGAGGGGGAGGAGGAGGAGGAGGAGGAGGAGGAGGAGGAGGAGTTGGAGTTGGAGTTGGAGTTGGAGTTGGAGTCCCTGGACGTAGTCCTACCAACCCTTACTGATACTCTTTCAGGGCTCTGCTTGCTATTCCAGCCTGACTGTAAGCCTTGGGCCACTGCCCTAAAGCAATCCGACGGAGGTACTCTCTCCTGGTGGGTGCGGGTTGGAAAAACGCAAGCCTTCGCGAGGCCCAGGAGATGTTGATCCCCGTACATCCCACGACACGCACAAAACCAAATCACTAAAACACCGTGAAGCCTCAAGCAATGGGATGAGTGACAAAACCCCCCAGCGAGGTGAACGGTGGCCCCCTTCAGGAGGTGCACGAAGGGAGCTGTCCAACGCATCGAGACGGGAACTCGGAGGCTGACGCCACACCTGGACGCGGCCAGCCGACGCAGACCCACGGCACCGCAGGCACCGTCGGCCACATTCCGAGAGCACGTGGGACGTCTCAAAAACCGAAGTATTGTCACCGCTGGGCGGCAGAAGATGGGGGGGGAGGGAGGCATCAGCACCAGCAGGCACGCTCTCACTCACTCCCCCGTTGGCCTCCCGAGATCCTCGCCTCGGGTGCCGCTGCCTCTCGCTCTGGAGGCCCGTCGGCTGCAGCAGCTTCTCGGCGCCTCCAGCGAGTCGAGGTGCGACCGTAGGATCCTCATACGGGTGCACCCGCTGCCTTTCCATGATGCTGGCGCGTATACCCTCTGGCACTCTCGCGACTGCCGCACCTCCTCTCCAGCTAAGACATCTGCTACCGTATTGCCGTAGGTCATCCACGAAGGCCCAGCGTGGCGAACGACAAGGTCCTCAGCTTCCAGGTGCGAGTGTTTGAAAACGAGTGTGACACGTTCTGGCCGTCTGCTACCATCTCGGAACGGCAGGCCGATCTTCGCCCACAGCATTACGTGCTCTCCTGCAGGCCGTAGGTATTGTTGGGTCCACCGTCCGTCAAAAAACATTGTGGTATCCGTCACATGTGTGAGATACTGTGTCGTCATCCTCAGAGCGACCCAAAAAATGTGCAGCTCATCCATGGGTATCGTCTGAACCACACCAGGGAGCGCCCCGCATGTAGACACCTTAACGTAGTTGTAAGTCCCCTCGCTGGCCATCTGAGCCAACCCAAGACCGATGCGGCGAAACCTGGCATCGCGTGAATCTGGCCCGCCGCTGGCGTCGCCAAACAATAAGATAGGTTTGCCGTCCTCGCCAGGTCCCAGGACACCGTCTGCTGCTTCCACATTGAGGCCTGTCTGAAACCATGACTCTTGATCGGGTGGCTCTGGAACTCTGGTCCACGAGGCTGGCATGGCACCCCTGAGCCAGTAGTCTTGATCAGACTCATGCTGCGTCACCGCCATCATTGGTGTAGATGGGGTGGTCGGTAGTCTTATCGCATTCCCAAACCTGGTAAAACTGAGTCTCATCCTTCTTACATTTGGGGCATAGTGGACGGACCTGGACTGTCGTAGCTGCCTGAGACCTCCTAAGCCTCGGCCACGAACCTGCCGCAACCACCGATGCAAGTAGCTCCGAGAGCCTCCGCCCCCCGGGTACCTGCTCTAGCTGCCTCATGAGATGGTGGAGGGAGTACACGTCCATACCTTGGTCCAAACCTCCACCACAGAAATGGCGTTCGGCTGCGGACCACAAGACCTTCCCCGACGAATGGCTCAAATCCAAGGAAAAAACCATGTTGTGTCATTCAACGCCGAAATATCAGAATGACCAGCCTGGAAAACGCCATTCAGTTACATCTTCCATAACCCTATACACCGGTGAACAGGATCCCACCCCCTTTCGAGAAGCGCCAGGATCACCGCTGGCATAGGACCTCAGGCCCAGCAGGAGCGTTGCGACTGGGGGGGGGCTCCGAAAATGCTGGACCACACCCTTCCAAGCCCGATGGACACGCCCACGAATCCCGGGCCTGGAGAACCACTGCTGCAGTCACAATTGCAAGGATAGTTGGGGGTACCGAACTCCAGGATCGAGACCAGGCGCCTTGATGGCCAGAGTGGAGGACAGACAGCACCCACGACCCCCAGAGGAAACCGCCGCGGCTAAACTCCTGAAGGATACAAGGCGTTGGCCGAAGGTACCGTGGAGCTCCTGGCCGTAGTTGCCCGCAGCTTGTGCACCCATCCTTTCCAGTCGAGAAATAATAGTATACTGCTTGGACGCGCGAGCATATCTGACAACCCGAGCGTGCATGCGACCGTGTTTGGCGAGATTATTGGTACCAGTGGCCCTCGCAGTCCTTCCTCCTCCTCCTCCTCTTTTGTCAATCCCAAGATACGCTCCCTGCAACTGATGTCGAACGCTGAACCCTTTCACCCGAAGCCCGTCTGGTCATCTCCTTGGCGTCGCCGTGAAACGAAAATATCACAATAGGCTTAGAGGAAACGTCCAGGTGCCACTTGGCCAACTCGCTGCACGTATCCCCTAGACAGGAAGTGACATTCTCGACGACCGACCTCCTCGATCCTGACACCCTCTTCGAAAGATCGTCGATCCATGTTCGATGCCCCAGAGCTTGGTGGCTTCTCGATATTCGCGCCAAAACATAGTGGGCCATGCATTTCGCGAATCGAGTCCCCGACCTGAAGCCATGGATGATGCTGCGATCGACCAACACGGAACGGCTCACATATTGTACCAAATTGTTCCAGGGATTGTTGTTGTCACGCATTCAGCCGGCTCCATATATAGAATCATTGGAGGGAAACCCAGGCGGAGCGCAGCAAATACTAACAGATCCCACTCGATACCGTCGTAGAAGCCTCGAATATCCAGCATGTCGTGCCCTGTGGGTAACTTCATCCATCCAGCAATTTCGTCGGCCAGCGTAAAGTGAAATGCCTCAACCAACGAACTGTCGCCTCGCACTGCTGCGTCCCACTCTGTCTCGACAAGCCCGCACCACTCGCGCCCTTGATATTCACGAACGCCTAACCATATGCGTCCAACAATGGACATGAGCCCGATGGCTCGATATCCTTCCGACTTTTTGGGCAACAGCTTGCTTATCACCAGCTGGGTCTGGTGGGGCCACGTGAGGGTGGACTCGAAAACGTGCATCAGCGCCGCGAGCTCTTCCAAGCCCGCTTGAGGAAGGCGTTCCGCGTCCAGCGGAGTGAGGCGGTCCGCATCGAGGCCCGTCTTCCCCCTCATACGATGCGCAGCCTGGCGGGCTGAATCGGCAGTGATTGGCTCTAGCGGTTCGTCGCGAGCAGCCCCCTCGATGGCAGCAAACGCGTCCTTGAGCCTCTCCTCCTGCGTCCGCCCTGCATACACTCTAGGCGATGCTTAAGAAAACCCAAGTGTTCGGCCAGAGTCTCGATTCTTCTTGATGCTTCAATGTAAATCCCAAGACTTGAACAGACATTCTGGGTTGTGATCCAAATTCTGAGACTGTGAATGTCTTAACCCATGACTTCTGAAGCATTTCGCAGGGTGTGCCCGACTTGATGACCCAGCAAAAAACATTGGCGACGCGAGGGGCGGACGGGCTCGAGGAGCACCCTGCGCCCCGTTCTGCTGCCGCGGCCGAGCACGGCAGGGCCCCCATCGGCCGCCCTGCAGAACCTCGGCGGCGTTGGGGCGGGCGGGGCTCGCGGAGCGCCCTCCCTCCCGCTCGGACCCGGCGGCAGAGCAAGGCGTGCGCTCCTGGCCAGATGGCGAGCCCTTGGCGACGTGAGGTTGGGATGGGCTCGAGGAGCACCCTTCACCGCGTTCTTCCTTCCGACCAGGAGGAGGAGGAGGAGGAGGAGGAGGAGGAGGAGGAGGGGGAGGAGGAGGGGAGGGGAGGAGGAGGAGGAGGAGGAGGAGGAGGAGGAGGAGGAGGAGGAGGAGGAGGAGGAGGAGGAGGAGGAGGAGGAGGAGGAGGAAGGGGAGGAGGAGGCGGAGGAGGAGGAGGAGGAGGAGGGGGCACGCGGGACGCAGGGCAGGGGCGAGGGAGGACGGAGATGGGGGACTGAGAAGGGGGGAGGATGGCGAAGGAGGAGGAGGAGGAGGAGGAGGAGGAGGAGGAGGGAGAACGGGGGACGCGGGAGGATGAGGGGATGCGAAGGGGAGAACGGAAAAGGGAGAACGGGGGAATGGATGGTCCAGCATGTCGCTAAAGATGTTTTAGACTCGAAGAAGAAGAAAAAGAACGGCATAAACATAAACTGTTGGCGCTCCGTGCGGATTTCTTGGATCCGCGCTGGGCCCCCCCTGGCGGCACCTCCGGCGCCGCCCCTGGCGCGCTCCGCTCTTCAACTCTGCGGAATGTTTCATCAAGATTGGATGCAGAGCAGAAGCCTGGAGGCCGTCCTTGAATGGATGTTGGTCGATTCGTCCAGGTGACTCCGCGGCGCAGCATGTTCCTTTGAGCGCTACAGAGGACCCCAAAGGATTCGCAGTCATCCTTCGCACCGCGTCCTGGGGAGGCGATAGGGCGGGAGTCCCCATCCAGGCGACCTGACCGCCCCTTGCTCATTTGCCAGACCCACGTCGGCGCCCCTCCCGTATTCGATTGACAAATACTAGCATGAACATCAGTGTTCCGAGCTCCGCGCGGTTTTGTTGGATCGGCTCTGGGGCCCTCCTGGCGGCGCCTCCAGCGCCCCCCCCCTGGCGCGCTCAGCGCGCCATGGAGGGGGGGTCCAGCGCCGATCCGAGAAATCCGCGCTCACCTACGAGAAAAGCTATGCTTGTGCCGTTGTTTTCTGTGTCGCTGTGCACGGCGGCGGCACTCGCATTGCACCGCCAGTTGCTGAACCCTGCTGCCCGCTCCCACCTGGCCTGGCCTTAGGGTTACTGACGTTACTGGTCCGCGGTCTTCTCCGCCACACCCCGCCAGAGAGCCTCTGCGGGGTGGAGGCGGAGGAGGAGGAGGAGGCGGAGGAGGAGGAGGAGGGGGAGGAGGAGGAGGAGGAGGAGGAGGAGAGGAGGAGGAGGAGAGGAGGAGGGGGAGGGGAGGAGGAGGAGGAGGAGGAGGAGGGGGAGGAGGAGGAGGAGGGAGGGGGAGAGGAGGAGGGGGAGGAGGAGGAGGACCTCCCCCACCCCACGAGCCCACGCAGCCGCGTGCCGCTGCGAGCCGTGCCCCCCGCAGGAAGCTCGGCGGGCCGCCAGCCGGCCCCGCCCGCCGCCCCGGCGGCGCCCCTCGGCGGCGCCGAGGGCCTCAGCGAGGCGTCCCGCTGGCTGGGCGGCCCCGCCCGCGGGCCCCGCGGGGGCGCCCGAGCCCCCGCCGGCCGCGCGGGCGGCCGCCCGCCGCCGCCCGAGGCGCCGGCGGCGCCGAAGCCCGAGCGGGTGGCCGGGCGCTGCGCGTAAGTCGGGGGGTGGGCCCGAAGCGGAGGAGGTGGAGGAGGAGGAGGAGGAGGAGGAGGAGGAAGGAGGAGGAGGAGGAGGAGGAGGAGGAGGAGGAGGAGGAGGAGGAGGGAGGAGGAGGAGGAGGAGGAGGAGGAGGAGGAGGAGGAGGAGGAGGAGGAGGAGAGGAGGAGGAGGAGGAGAGGAGGAGGAGGAGGAGGAGGAGGAGGAGGAGGAGGAGGAGGAGGAGGAGGGGAGGAGGAGGAGGAGAGGAGGAGGAGGAGGAGGAGGAGGAGGAGGAGAGAGGAGGAGGAGGAGGAGGAGGAGGAGGAGGAGGAGGAGGAGGAGGAGGAGGGGGGGAGGAGGAGGAGGAGGAGGAGGAGGGGAGGAGGAGGAGGAGGAGGAGGAGGAGGAGGGGGAGGAGGAGGAGGAGGAGGAGGAGCCCACTCCAGCGGCCGCCCCTCCCGCTCGGGGCCCGGGCCAATGGTCAAAGCATACAGCCCGAGCGGGTGGTCGGGCGCTGCGCGTGAGTCGGGCATAAGTCCCTTCTGCAGGTCGGGGGAGCGTAAGACCCGGGTTTGCCAGGACTCGGGTTCGCCATCGTTGTTTTGACGACCACGACTCGGATTCTGACGGGGAGGAGTGTCGTCGGGATGTCTGCAGCGGGAGGCCTCGTCAAAATGCAGGCTCGGCCTTGTCATTTTTTTGACGACCTCGTCGGGGATTTCCGAGTCCCCTGTACCCAGGTCTTGCGTCCCCCTGATGCAGGGGGGAGATTCCGAAATGGTCAAAGCATACAGTCCGGGCGCTGCAGAAGGAACCCTCTGTGCCTGGGAGGGGCTCAGTGTTCCTTAGTCGTTCTACAGTTCGCCCTCGGTATGCCCTTGGTTTTCGATGGGAGATCGAAGCTTCACTTGTGGGAGAAAGGGGCCCCGTTCCTTATTTGGGGTTCCTTAGGTAAACGCCCCAACTGTAGTCGGGGGTCTATGCTTTGAGTATGTTTGAGCATTTTGGGGGGCGTATACGTTTCAATTTGTCGTCCCAGATCCGTCTATAGGGAGACAGACTCGACCTAACGCTACGTACCCATCGGTCGCTGAAAGTGGGCATTTCTGGAGACCCTGGTTGCAGTCTGCTTCGAGCGCCTTCCTGCTGCAATGATCGGGCGGCTTCACCTTTTCCGTCCTCTTTGGGGGGCTGCGGGCGGAGACCCAGTTTATGTTCAACGCCTTCCTACTTCATGGTTCTACCTACTTCTTCCGACCGATGGGTAGTGCTTGGGGGGCCCTAAACTCAGATGAAGAAAAGGTACCCATACTGCTACCCCCTTCCTCGTTTTCTCCTTTTGGGGTCTCCCGTGGGAGGCCCTCGTCGCCACCGCTGGATTCGCATCGCAATCCTGGTCAGAACGCACCCCAGGAGAGGTCCGGGGAGTATTGGTATCGGTACCCTTTGTTGTCCCCATAAACGGCGTAGCATCGTTCGGGCGTGTGTGTGTGTGTGTGTTTCCTCGGCGAGGGCCCTCGAGGAGCATCCTGGATCACGTCTTGGAAAGAGGCACACGCGCGGAACCAGCAGATGCACCCTGGGGATGGGCGTCCGAGCGAGGGCCAGACGGTGTACGGGACGATCGGAACGGGTCGGGAGAGAGTGGGTACGAAGGCCGGCAGCAGTTCGCTGTCCACTTTGAGCAGGATGCGCTGTCCGTGCCGCGGCGGGCGACGACCGTTTGAGACAGAATGCCGCCTGCCCGGCAGCGGCCGCTGTCGGTTCTGGACAACCGCAGTTGTCGGGCATCGCACCCACTTTGCCCATATCCATTTCGGGCGTCCGAAGGTGTGGTGGCCACACGGCGCGGTGAGTCGGTGGGGATTCGGGGCCACCGCACGGCTTGGGGGCTCGGGTCGTTCTCAGAGGATGCCTCGGGCGATCTGGGCATCGGAGGCCCCAGTCGCGGAGTGGTGACGGACCTTGCGGTGAGTGCAGTTGCTTTCCGCCCCGCCGCCGGGCCCATTCCTCAACACATGGCCGCCGCCCGGCGCCTGGAGGCGCCCAGAAATCCAGCTACGTGAGTTGATTATTTGCCCTGCCCTTTGCTATCCTACCCTTCCGCCCCCCCGAGAGGACGCCTCGGGCGACGGGGGCCTCCGAGGCCCCCAAGGGCAGTGCTGTGGCGGGCACTGCGGTGAGGTCTCTGCGAATTCCGACGTCGCTGCTGGGCCTGTCGCCACGCGGTTTTTCTTGGCATCGTTCGGACGTGTGCATTTTATCCTTGGCGAGGACCATCGAGGAGTATCCTGGATCATCCTGCGAGAAAAACAGCGGGAGCCCATGCCAAGAAGCACCCTGCTTGCCTCCAGGGAGCCCTGGGCTTCTTGGGTTTCGATGGCTTCGCTCTGGAAAGCGCGACGTCCCCACACCGAAAATTCATGGGCATCCTGGGGTCTCCGGGTTGGCTCTCTCGGTGGGAGGTTTCTCGTGGTCGAGCTCCTACTGTGCGCGCACGAAGTCGAGCAAAAAGCACGGGGAACGCACGCCTGAGCGATGGCGAGGTTTTTTGTGGCCCCCAGTAATGGTTAAGTCGGGTTAAGTCGGGCACGTCCCCCTCTAGGCGGAATGTTCAAACACAGTTAAAAAAGTAGTCGGGGGACGACTTGTTGAGCATTGGTTGACTATGTTTGACTATCTGTTGGTCATCTTGTTTTTCCCCTTCCCAGATCCCCCTGCAGGGGGACACGCCCGACTTCACACTAGGGGGGCGACGACGGAGCGCAGGCCGCACCTCGGCCGCGCAGAGGCGGGGGGGGGGCGGGCCCTCCGAGCGCCGCCCGAGCCCCGAGGGCGCCCTCCGGAGGGTCCCCCTTAGCGTCCCCCTCCGCGCCGGGTGCTCTCTCCGAGAGGGCCCTCCGAGAGCTCCTTCGCGAGCGCCCTCGGAGCGCCCTGCGAGCCGAGGGCCCTCCGAGGGCCCCTCTGCGCACAGCGGCCCCGCGCAGAGGGGGGATCTGGTCGGGGGTGGATCGACTTCCTGCCCTGGCACGTCGATGAGCGAATAGGCCGTTTTCGGTTCGCGAGAGGGCGTCGCGGTCGTCATTTTGGCGAGCCCAGGTCCGCCGGTTTCAGTCCCAGGCCGTTTTGACAAAGGGGGGGTTTACTAAAGAGAGGTTTGTCCACCGCCGATCCGAGGGCCCACTGCGTACACCAGCCACGCGCAGAGGGGGGGTCTAGGGGGGGGGGCTTCTTAGAGGCCCCCCTGCGTCTTAGAATCGAAGGACAGAAACCGGCGTGGACGGGAACTTTCGGCGCTCCGCTTGGATCTGCGCTGGGGCACCCTGGCGGCGGGGGTCCAGCTCAAATCCGAGAAATCCGCTCGGACCAGGAAGAGTTTATGTTTATGCCGTTTGCTATTCCTATTCGAAGCACCACTGCTTCTGAGAAGGCACGGACCTCGTCTATAGATTCGGGCCGGACGAAAGGGGGGGATAGGGGAAAGGGGGGGGTACGAAATTTGCTGCATGCAGCTGGTTTCGGCCTCACCGAGGGACCCATTCCTCGACACACAGCCGCCTCTGGCGCGGGGAGGCGCCGGGGAAATCAGCTACGTGAGCTGATGTTCACCCCCCCCATTTGCTCTCCCCCCCAGTCGCCCGACCCGATAGATGTGGGGCCGGCGCCTTATAGAAAGCAGGCTCTTTCTAAGAAGCCTTTCCCCCTCCCCCTACCCCCTTGTGCGCGCCGCCAAGCAGATGTACGCGAATCTACGTTGGTGTTGAAAGTACGCATTGCGCGAACGTTGGTATCGCGAGGCTGGTCTCGCGGACTGGGGGGCTGTATTCATATACGAGGTTGGGTGTTTACGTCCTCTGTGGGCTCCCAAAGCGAGGGGGAAGCAAGGTGCACCTGTTGCACAATTCGACGAACAAAGAACCGCATAGGTATGACTTGTCGGAGCTCCGCGCGGATTTATTGGATCGGTCTCTCTGGAGGCGCTTATGGCGCCGCCCCTAGCGCGCTCCGCGCGCCAGGGAGGGGGGTCCAGCGCCGATGCAAGAAACCAGCGCGGACCTCCAAGAAACCAGCGCGGACTATTTTGCTTTTGGCATGGAGAGGAGGGGTTAAGCAAGGTGCACTTTTTTGTGAAACTTTTCGCGCTCCGCGCGGACTTTTGGAGCCGCGCTGGGCCCCCCTGGCGGCGCCTCCGGCGCCGCCGCTGGCGCGCTCCGCGCGCCAGGGAGGATGGTCCGCGCGCCAGGGAGGGTGGTCCAGCGCGGATGCAAGAAGGTCTGCGCGTAGCGCCAATAGTCTGTGTTTATGCCGTTGTTTTTTTTATTTTTTTGCAGTAGCCTTATTATCATTATTATTAGTATGGTTATTATTCTTATTATTATGATTCCCCTTCTTCTTATCATTATCATTCGTATTACTTTCTTCGTCTTCTTCCAATAGGGGCACGAAGGGTGCACGTGTCTCCCCAAGAACTACCGCCCCCCCCCATTAATCTGCGCTCAAGGTGGAGAGCAAGGGGTCCAGCGGGGGCGGGACGGTCGACGAGGCCAAGCCGATGGAGGCACTTAGGGACAGGTTGGTAGACTGGACGATCGTCTTCAGCGAGCGCTTCGAGCTGTGCGTCTTCCTGCGCGAGATCGTTGGGCAGATGACTTTCAGCGCCTTTGGGCCCCTGGGGATCCCGCTGCTGCGGCTGTATCTGGTGGCCTTCGGCTCCTTCCCGCAACCGTTGCTTGGGTTGTGGACTAGACGCCTTTTATCAGAGGCCTCCTGGGCTTCTCCTCCTCCTCTTCCTCCTCCTCCTCCTCCTTCTCCCTCACTCCTTCTCCTCCCTCCTTCTCCCTCCTCCTCACTCCTCCTCCTCCTCCTCCTCCTCCTCCTCCTCCTCCGCCCTCCTCCTCCTCCTCCTCCTCCTTCCTCCTCCTCCTCGTCCTCCTCCTCCTCCTCCTCCTTCTCCTCATCCTCATCCTCCATCCTCATCCTCATCCTCCTCATCCCTCCCTCACTCCTTCTCCTCCCTCCTTCTCTCCTCCTCCCTCCCTCCTCTCCATCTCCTCCTCCTCCTCCTCCGCCCTCCTCCTCCTCCTCCTCCTCCTCCTCCTCCTCCTCCTCCTCCTCCTCCCGAAGGCCTCTTGGGGGCTTCTGGGGGCTCGCGGTCGCGGGGGCCATCTTGGGATGGAGGGCTCCTCGGGGGCCCACTCGAGCTCCCTGGTTGGGGCCCCTGTTGGAACCTCTGGGGCCCCTGTTGGGGGCTCGGGCCGCCCTGGGGGCCGACTCGTGGCTGCGTGGAGCTGCCCTGGGGGCGCCCGCTGAGCCGCCTGGTGGTCGCCGATGGCATCCCCACCTCTCGATGGCATCCCGGGCGAAGCTCCTCAGAGGTGGACAGGGCGCCCGTGTGCCGCCACCCGTCCCTCGTGTTCCCCCTCTGGGGCCTCCTCGGAGGCCCTCGTCGCCACCGCCGGAGCCGCCTCGAAGCTCGAGTCGGAGCGCACCCGGGAGAGGTCCGGGGGGCAGAGGCATCGGTGCACGTTGGTTTCCCCAGCTTCGGTAGATACCGCCCGCCCGGGCATGAGGGCCCTGCGACCACTGGGAGGAGGGAGGAGGGAGGAGGGAGGAGGGAGGAGGGAGGAGGGAGGAGTCCAGGCCGGCTCCGAGGTACCCCACCCAGGGCTCCCAGGCAGCGCAGGACATTCTCCCGACGGCCACGACACCTCCACGAGCGCCCAAGGCAGTGCCAAGAGGCCTCCAAGAGGCCCCAAACACCGCCCAAGAGACCTCCAGGGAAGCCCTCGAGAGGCCAAAGTCACTGGAAAGCCAGAGGAAAGCATATGATGTTTGCGTTCTCGCATTTTTTTGCATCCGATGCGCGTCCGAGGCTTGCGCATGATCCCCAACAGAGCCTCAAGATGCCTCCAAGAGACTCCCCAAGAGGCCACAAAGACGTTCGCCCCAAAGTGGCTCCCAAGAGGCTTCGACAAGCTCCCAGGAGCCGCCCAAGAGACCACCACAGGCTCCCAGAAGCCCAAAGAGCGCCCAAGAGCTCCAATAAGCCCACAAGAGCGCCCCGAGAGCCCCCGAGACCCCCAAGAGGCCCCCTAGAGGCCCCACGAGACCCACAAGACGCCGGCAACAGGCTCCAGGAAGGTTTTGAAGAAGACATCCCAGAAACGTCCCCAGGAGACTGCCACGAGACATCTTCTCTCCTCATCCCTCACTCCTCCCTGATCGCTCTCCTGATCCGTTCCCCGTTGCTTCCCTTCCCTCCCCCATCCACCTCATCTCTCCTTCGCTCCTTCCTCCCTCCACCTCCCTCACCCAGCTTCTTCCTGCCTCAAGAAGTGGTCGGAGGCCCAATCTGAAAAAAAAGAATCCTACAAGCTCCATCATGTTGTTGTACAGTTCGATCCCTCCCCCCCCCGAATGCGTTTCTGGTCCCCCAGGCTTCGCTGTCCGTTCCCACTGATGCCTCGCCTGCTTCCCGTTCCACATCCTTCTCCTTCTTCCCCCCCAGACGGGCTTTGAACGCACCCCAGAAACGTCCCCACGAGACTGCCACGAGAAATCTTCTTTCCTCATCCCAACCGCCTCCCTGCTCGTTGTCTCGCTTCCCTTGCACCGCTGCGTCCTTTCTCCCCTCCCTCCACCTCATCTCTCCTTCACTCCTTCCTCCCTCCGCCTCCCTCACCCAGCTTCCTGCCTCATGAAGTGATCGGAGGCCCAGCTTGGAAAAAGGGTATCCTACAAATCCATGTTGTTCGAGTCCCCCCCCAGAATGCGTTTCCGCCTCTCCCATCCCTCGCTGTCCGTTACCATTGATCTCTCGCTTGCTCCCATTCCACATTTTTCTCCTTATTCTCCCCCTCTGGGTTTTGAAGACCCCAGAAATGTTCCGAGTAAAATTTCCGCGAGATATCCCATCTCCTCACCCTTCCCTCTTTCCTGTTCGTTGTCTTGCTCCCTCTTCCCCGTTGCGTCCTTTCTCCCCTCCCTCCACCTCATCTCTCCTTCAATCCTTCTTCCCTCCGCCTCCCTCACCAAGCTTCATGCTTCACGAAGTGGTCAGAAGCCCATCTTGATTGTCGTCAAGTTCCACCCCCCCAAAATGCGTTTCCGTCTCTCCCATCCCTCGTCGTCCGTTCCTATTGAGCTCTCTCTCTCTCTCTCTTGCTTCCCGCTTCACATCTCGTTCTTCCCCCTATCTGGGTCCTGAACTCCCGCGCTGCCCTACATTCCGACCCCCCGACGAAGTGCGGCGACCGCACCCGCGCATGCTTGGACCCCTCGCAAGAACCGTGTTGGCTCGACTCGGGCCCAGCCAGGGCGGGATCCTTCTCGCCCCCGTGCAGCTTGGCCTCGCCCGCGCGACACGGATCGAAAATCGAAATTGAGTGGTGATCGTATTTTTATGCATTGGTTTGCCGATCGGCGCGGGCCCTCGGCACCCACTCCAGGGCTCGTGTCGATTCCTCCGATTCGATTCGACTTCAATGGCTTCCGATTCCGATTCGATCCGGTTTGGGATCCCGATTTGGGCTCCGATCTCTCATTGGAGGCATATTGGCCTCCCGATTTCCGCCGGTCCGACGTTTCCCGACTCGGCTGCCGATTTCCGCCGATCCGATCTGTTTCGATCGCCGATCCGACTTGTCGATTCGACTCTGGGGTCTCCTGCCCCTCCCCCCTCCTCTCCCGGAGTAGACCTTGGCTGTTCGGGATGCCTGTCTCAAGCAGGGGGAGTCTCCCCCACAGCACGCACTGTTGCAAACAGTCGCACTCAGCAGAGGACCGGAGCCAGACCCCCCCTCCCCCCCCTTTTCCGCCCAATGTCGAAACGCCGAATGCGAAAACGGTCACGTGGAGGCATCCGTTTTGTGTCGGTCTCACCCCTCTGCTACTCGAAGGGAAGATTGAGATTCTAAGGGGCTTGAGGACATGCCGGTCAGTGCTCGCGGCACGGTGGCGGATTACGGGACAGCTTGCGCCTTGGAAAATCGCTCGATGTCGATTCCGTCGAAGTCGCATCACACGTGGCGAGAGTACATTATATTGCTGGCCGTGAATTTGGTGAGTTGGGTCTGCGGCATATCTTTCATATGCGCAGTTCTGTTCTGGTACGTGTACAGACCGCCAGGCGCGTCGGCCGCGGAGATTCTGCTGCTGTGCGTGACGGTTTTCATGAGAAACAACACCGTTGCAATCAAGTATGCTCACTTCCCGCTGCCTGCCTACCGGCAGTTCGACGCCGTCAGGCTGAGTGCGCAGCGTCTGCTGAGCGGGCTCGTCTTGGTGTCGGAAAGGCTCCCGCCACTGCCGCCAGGCCCCCTCGGCGGGGGGATGGCGAGCTTTTGGTGAACGAGTGGATGGGCGAAGAGCCCGCGCACGCAGTCGAACGACAACACGACTGGGCTCCGCGTGCGTCGGGCCCGAGATCCGCGCCGATGTCGTTCCCGACGGCTCCCGCGCGGCGTCCCCAGAGTTCCCGGGCTTGCCCGCCGCTTCGCCCTGGGAGCGCACCAGAGTTCCGAGAAGCCCGTCCGCAGAACAGAACCCCTATTAGACGAGGCAGGTTGTAGGTCGTGGTGAGGGAGAGGTAGAAGAGGCAGGGAGAGGAGGAGGAGGCGGAGGAGGAGGAGGAGGAGGAGGAAGAGTGGGGAGGCGGAGGAAGAGCGGAGGAGGAGGAGGAGGAAGAGTGGGGAGGAGGAGGAAGAGTGGGGAGGAGGAGGAGGAGGAGGAGGAGGAGGAGGAGGAGGAGGAGGAGGTGGAGGAGGAGGAGGAGAGAGAGGGAGTCCCCGAAAGGTCTCCACGCCTCGCCGCTCGGGGGCCCCAGGGCGGCCCGCGGATCCTGGAACAAGCCCAACCAGAAGACGGTCGACGCGTTCCTCGACCTCAGCTGTCTGTCCGTCCTCGGGCCGGTGCCCAGGCTCGGCAGCGGAGTCCGAGCCTTACCTTCTCGACGGAGAAAAAGCGGCGCAAACATAAACTGTTGGCGCTCCGCGCGGATGTCTTGGAGCCGCGCTGGCCCCCCCAGCGACGCCTCTGGCGCCGCCCCTGATCCAAGAAATCCGCGCGGAGCGCCAAAAGTTTATGGTTGTGCCGTTGTTTTTTCTTCTACCTTCGAGGATCCCACGATTCAGGCAACTCGATGGGCGGCGGGGGTAGGGTTCGGAATTCGCCGAACACGTGGCGAAATCCGAACCCTACCCCCGCCTCCCATCGATTCAGGGGAATCGATGGTTGGCGGGGGCAGGGTTCGGATGGTGCCACCTACAGGCAGATCAGGCTGCGCTTCCTGGCGTGGCCCGAGACCATGCACTGTGCCCAGGTCATCGCCAGGAGGCCCCCGAGAGCCAACCCCCCCCGGAGCATCCGTTTCCTCCGCCTCCTCACCACGTGTCTCCAGGCCTCCCGACGGGGGTCCGAGCAGATAAGGTCGGAGGATCGCGCCGCATCCCCGACGCATCGGCGATGCGGCTCGATGTGGAGCCCGATGTCATCCACACCGACGTCGCCGACGCATCGCCAGCGTCGCCGATGCGTCGCCAGCGTCGCCGATGCATCGGGGACGCAGCGCGATCTTCCGACCCCATCCGCTCGGACCCCGTCTGGGAGGCCTCCACTGCCACATGTCTTCATGTTGGCTTCCTCCTGGCTCTTCGGCCACCTGCCTCGTCATCGAAGGATTGCAAAAAAAAACAGGATTGCAAAAAAAAATGTTTGTTTGCAATCATGTTTTTTTGCAATCCTTCGTTTTTTTGCAATCCTCCCCCCCTCCCTCCTGCACGTTCGGCCTCGGTGCAGTCTGGTTTGCCGAGGCAGGGCCTGACCTCCAGGGCCATCGTGAGCTACGCTCTGCTGCAAGGCCAGCTGACGGCCAAGAAGTGCCCGCACAGCCACTATGTTGCGACCGAGGCGGGGAGGAGGAGGAGCAGGAGGAGGAGGAGGAGAAGGAGGAGGATATGCTCCGCCCTAGTTTGATTGATCGCATAGTGCTGACAGTTGTGGGGGCAGTTGTTGGATGCAGCCGCCAAAATGAAGCGCGGTGGAATGGAAGCAGCATCGTGAATCCTTGACGCGTCGCGCATCCCCACTTGCCCGTCCAGCAACGTTCCCTCCAGTTAAGACTCTGCAGTGAGGACCGCCTTGGGCTCAGGTGGGGCTTCGGTTTTCGGGCTGTTCCTGAGACTCGTGTCGTGGGAACTGCTTGTAGCCTCGGCCCGCCGCGGCCAGAAACGTCCCTTCGTCTTGTTTTGTTCTGCGTTCATGATGGTAGCATTAAGTCGGGCATGTCCCTCTACAGGAGGAGTATTCGAAAGTAGCCGAAAACTAGCCTGGCGAAGGACCCAACCATCTGCAGCTGTGAGCACCGCAGTCGTGAGTATAATCTTCGGTGGAGCTCCCTTTGGGGCCACGAAACGTGTGAGGGGTGTGCCCAAATGGGTGTGGCGGACGCATGTGGACGGTGGCAGGGCCTTCGGTGGAGCTCCTTATGGGGCCACGAAACGCCTGAGGGGTGTGCTGAAACGGGTGACGACGACGATGGTGATAATGATGATGGTGATGATGATGCTGATGATGATGGTGATGGTGATGGTGATGGTGATGATGGTGATGGTGATGGTGATGGTGATGGTGAGGGTGAGGGTGAGGGTCAAGCTAGCCAGCTCGAGCGAGTCAAGCATGGCATGCCCATTCCCACCCGCCCTCCCACAACATAAGAAACAGTGATGGCACAACTGGGGGCTGTGCGGGCATTTCAGTGTCGCAGGTCCCAGAGCGCTGACTTCCAGGTCCCAGAGCGCCCCAGGAACGCCCCAAGAGAGCCGAGACGCCCCCGAGACGATCCGAGGGGCCTTGAGTCGCCGAAAGATCGTTCCAAGACGCCCAAGATGGCCTCCAGACGGCCGCAGACGCCGCCAAGAAACCGCGGGGAGCCTCAGGAGGCCCTCCAAAAGCCTGGACAAGCAAAAACTTCCCAGGCATTCGTCACCCCAGGGCCTCCTGGAACGCCCCGGCGCCCGATGAATTGGCGAGCTAAAAACGTGCGCCGAGCCAAAGCGGGAGCGCAACTTTGAGAAAATTTCGCTCGGCGCCCAAGCGGTAAGGTAAGTTCATTCACTTCGAGCGGGGGGGGGGTGTGCCGCGCCCAGCATGGCATTGTTTCTGACAAGTAAGGTGGCCCCTCCCGCCTTGGGATTGCCCCAGAAGTCCGCGCGCGATGTGCGCCGCGCCCCACTCCTGCCACGCATGTCGCATCGTCGACGACAAGACAGGCCATGATGAAAAGAAAAACGGCAACTTTGCATTGTTTTTTACAGTTAGGATGGGAGGGCCCGCAGCCCGCATGGACGTCCGCGCGCGATGTGCGCCGCGTCCCATTCCTGCCACATATTTCGCACCGTCGGCGACAAGGCAGGCCATGCTGAGATGAAAAAACGGAGACGTTGTATGGATATTTCACAGTCAGGATGGGCGGGCCCGGATTGACGGCCGCGCGCGATGTGCGCCGCGTCCCATATGTGCGCCGCGCCCCACTGCTGCCACATATTTCGCACCGCCGGCGGCGAGGCAGGCCATGCTGAGAGGAAAAAACGAAGACCTTGTATAGATCTTGTACAGTCAGGATGGGCGGGCCCAGATTGACTGCCGCTCGCGACGTGCGCCGCGTCCAATTCTTGCCACGCTTTTCGCATCGTCGACGACAAGAAAGACAATGATGAGAAGAAAAACTGCCACTGTGTATTGATTGTTTACAGTCCGGATGGGAGGTCCCGGATTGGGTTGCTATCGGCCGGAATACGACGTAGGTGGGGGTATATAATAATAAGGAACAAGAGCGAGGGTGAGGGTGAGGGCGGGGGTAATGATGAGGATGAGGATGAGGATGATGAGGATCAGGAGCAGGATGAGGATGATGGTGATGATGATGATGGTGGTGATGATGGTGATGATGGTGATGAGATTGATGATGATGATGATGATGATGACGACGATGACGATGACGATGATGATGACGGTGATGATGATGACGATGATGATGATTATGATGACAGGAGGAGTGAAGGGGCAGCGGGGGGAGGAGGAGGAGGAGGAGGAGGAGGAGGAGGAGGGAATGCGGGGACCGTCTCTTCAAAACGAGGACCCAACACCACAGGATGATTTGGAAATATTGTGGGGACGATGTTCCATTATGTTTGACCATTTTGTAAGTAGCGTTTGACTATGTTTTATTTGTCCTCCAGAATCTGCCTGTAGGGGGACATGCCCGACATAATTGTAGCACGATGGCCGTATCGTGAATCTTTGACGCGTCGCGCATCTCCACCTGCTTATCCAGCAACGTTCGGCGGCGAGCCCGGGGGGAAAGTGAGAAGGAGAAGGCCTTCCTTCTCAGAAGGCTCGGAAGTCCCCCGGCCGTCTGAGAAGTTCCGTAAGCTCTCTCTCCCCGAAGACACAGAAAATCTTTCAGAATGTTGGAGGGTTTCTGAGAAGTCCCGCCGCCATGTGGGACGGCCTTCACCTCACTTCCCCTTCGCTCGCCGCCGAAACGTTTGACCAGGGGAGCATGACCCCAAGAGAGGGCAGCCGAAGAGCCTTCCGCAGGTGTGCCGCGAAGGGCCTAACGGTTGACCCGAAGGCTGTGATTCGTGATTGTTGGTTTTGGCTGGTTCCCGTTATGTTGTGTTTTTCGTGAATTGTTCGATGGTCCCCATGGTTTGAGGTTTTAGGTTGAGGTTTGAGGTTTGAGGTCTTCCAGGGTTCTTGTCGCTTCTCGGCGGCCTTCTCGCTTCGGGATGTCTTCTAAGGCAGTTGCGCCTCGTCGAGGGCTCTCCCGGGCGTGCCTCGATCGCCCCGACCGGCCGCCAGAAACCCGAGTTACAGTCGGCCCGTATCAGAAGGATGCGCGATAAGGATGCACGGGCCTTGGAAGGCCGTTTCGAAGCTTTTAGAGCGGGGCGCGGCCAACGAAAGTGGCGAAGGAGGAGGAGGAGGAGGACCGAGGAGGCAAGGACGCAAGGGTACCCTTGGGAGGGGTGCCCAATATTACCATGCGGGCTGACCGTATGGCCCGAAGACCACCAGGCCCGGAGACGGCCAGAGGGGCCACGTGGGGGTCGCTTTTGTCGGCTTTGCTGCAGGCTCTGGGGGCCTTCTGGGGGGCCTTAATGCCTCCTCCTCCTCCTCCTCCTCCTCCTCTCCTCCTCCTCCTCCTCCTCTCTCCTCCTCCTCCTCCTCCTCCTCTCTTCCTCCTCTCCTCCTCCCTCCTCCTCCTCCTCCTCCTCCTCCTCCTCCTCCTCCTCCTCCTCCGTCTCCTCCGTCTCCTGCTCCTCCTTCTCCTCCTCCAGCAGGAGCGCTCGGCCTGCCGCTGCATCCAGCTCTTCGGCCGACGGGGAGGGGTCTTGATGCCATCCCTGGCTGATCCACAGTCAGCCCGCATAATAAGGATGGGCAACCTTCCCAAGGGGACCCTTGCGTCCGTGCCTCCCTCGGTCCATCCTTGGCCGCGTTCGCTGGCCGCGCCCCGCTCGAGAAGCTTCGAAACGGGTGCCCAATGCCCTCTTGCATCCTTATCGCGCATCCTTACTATACTGGTTGACTCTAGGAGGCTGTCGATCAAATTCATTGTCCGTCGGCGGCGTGGCAGAGGCCGTCCGCTCCAGTGGATGGCTACTTGGGGCAACCATTGTCGATCAAAACATCAGGGCTGGACCTCAACACTGTTTTGCTGGACTTCGGCCGTGCTTTGTTTTTCGTTTTGGCAGGGAGGCACAGGGAAACGGATAGAGCAAGACGGAAAACAAAACGAACACAAAACGAAAAACAACGCTTAGGCCTGGCCCTGGAAAACATGTGGGGCCGTAAGTTGGGAACGAGCGCGTGTTACATGCGCCTGGGCATGGGAGGGGTCCTTACCCGCCCCCTACCTCGCGCCAGGCCGCCTGTCCGGCTCGCCCGCTTCGATGTCCCGCCCGTCTTGCTTGTCCAGTCCGGCGTCGTCGTCGTCGTCGCTGCTCGGCGGCGGCGAGCAGGTCTTGAGGGGAGGGTTCTTGGTTTCGGAGGGGGCCTTTGCATGTTCTGTTCGGGGGGGATGGGCCCCTGGCTTCGCAGACCCCCTGTTTCGGATTTGTCCCGCCACGCAAGCGCGCCCTTAGGTCTCCCAAGAGAGCTCGAAGAGGCCCAAAAACATGTATGTTCCATAGGTTGCTGAACACTTTCGGCGTTTCCGCCTGTTCTGCTTCCCGACGCTGCAAAACGCCCCAAGAGGCTCCGAGGATCGCCCTTAGACGGCCCAATAGGCTTCAAAAGCTTCCCAAGACGGCCCAAAAGGCTTCAAAAGCGCCGAAGCGACGTCCAAGTCGGCCCGAGAGGGCCCCAACCGCGGCCCAGGATCGGGAACGTGAACCGAAAACCTGAGATCTTCGCCCCAGGAGAACCCCAGGAGGCTTCAAGAGGTCCCCAAGAAGCCCAAAAGAGGCCCAAAAGAGCCCCGAGAGAGGCCCCGAGGGCACTTGAGAGAAAAACGGGAGTTCCAGCATTGTCTTGTGTGAGTTCGCCTGGCAGCTTCGCTACGCTTGCAAAAAAAGAAACATGTCCGCCTTCTCCTCTTCCTCCTCCTCCTCATCATCATCATCCTCATCTTCATCCTCATCCTCACCCTCATCCTCTTCCTCCTCCTCTTGCGGTTCCTCCTCCGCTGCGGCTTCCTCCACCTTCTCCAACTCCTCCTCATCCTCCTTCCCGTCTCCCCCAGGGAACCCTTTCACCTCCCCTTCTCATGCCTCTACGTCCAGACGCGGCGACTAAAAGGGAAGTCTTGGAAGCCAGTAGGGCCGTCTTAGCGATTCTCGCAAGCCCCGGAGAAGAAGTGTCATGGAATAGAGATCCCCATCGCGCGCGCGAAGCGCGCGCGATGGTTCTAGTGCGTATGTGTGTATGCAAGTATGTATGTATGTGTGTGTGTGCATGGTTGTATGTATGTGTGTATGTATGTATACATGCATGTGTGTATGTATGTGTGTATACATGTATGCATGTATGCATGTATGCATGCATGTATGTATGTATGTATGGATGTTTGTGTGTATGTGTGTATGTATGTATGTATGTATTTATGTATGTATGTATGTATGTATGTGTATGTATGGATGTATGTATGTGTGTATGTGTGTATGTATGCATGCATGTATGCATGTATGTATGTGTGTATGGGTGTGTGTATGTATGTATGTATGGATGTATGTATGGATGTGTATGTATGTAAGTATGTATGTATGTATGGATGGATGTATGTATGTATGTATGTATGTATGTGTGTGTATGTATGTATGTATGTGTGTATGTATGTATGTATGTATGTGTGTGTATGTATGTATGTATGTGTGTATGTATGTATGTATGTGTGTATGTATATATGTATGTGTGTATGTATGTGTGTCTGTCTGTCTGTATGTCTGTCTGCCTGCCTGTCTATATGCATGTATGTATGTTTGTATGTATGTATGTATGTATGTGTGCACGGTTGTAGATGTATATCGATCTATATAATTATAGGTTTCTCTATTTCGTCCTCTCTCCGTTTCTATCTCTTTCTCGCTCCTTTTATGTATCTCGTTCTCTCTCTCTCTCTCTGTCATATCTCGCTCGCTCTCTCTAGTTATGGTCTCTCTCTCTCTCTCTCTCTCGCACCGGCTGGTGTCTCTCTATCTCTCTCGCTCTCTCTCTCACTCTCGTTATCTGTCTCTCATTATCTCTCTGTATATATATATATATGTATCTATATATATGTATATATATATATATTCCTGTCTCCCCAAGCTAGCCACCTCCGTCTGAGCCCGAAAGATCGCTTCTTGGGACCCCTGGGGACTCCCTTTGAGTGTTCATGGGGGCATTGGAGGGCGTACTCTGCCCGTCGGAGCCTATATTGCGGCTCTGTTGGATGGCATTGCAACCATTTCGAGACCACTGAAGGCAACAATCATTCAAACAGCTCAGGTGTTTGAAGAATGTGGATCCTTTAGGGGGGGATCCTTGGGAAGCGCCACGGCCCCCTCAGAGCAAGATGGGGGGGGCATCTTGTGAGCTATTTGAGGCATGTGTCCTGCATGGCTTGCGAAAGTGTGGAGGCCATCTTGGGGCAGTTCGAGCAATATGTGACCTATCGTGAGTACACTCACCCTCTGACCGCTCCCGGTTTTCCGAGGGGGAAGACAGGGGTTTGGAAGGGTCGACCCGTTAAACCACCTACGCCCAGGGGCTTGGGGATGTTTGATGATGACGAGGATGACGAGGAGACGTTGTATTGGCGGACGGAGGCAACATACGGACGGGGTAGAGTTGCCTCTCCAGTCGCCCTGTCACGTCCTCTAATTGGTCGTCACCGTCGTTTCGTTCGTCTCGATGGAGGGCCCGCACCCAGTGCTCCAGAAGTGAAGGAGGGCAGGAACGAAGAGGTGCCACCGAGGACGCGAACAGCAATGCCATGCTTGCTGCGTCTCTGCCCCCCTTGGCAGGTCCCCGACCTGCAGGAGGAGTTGCCCCCGGGCGTCAGACCAGCGGGCTCGCCGTGCGACCTCGAGTTCTGCGAGAACGCAGCTCCAAGCGTCCACGAGGCGAGCAGGTAGGAGGGGGAGGAGGAAGAGGAGGAGGAAGAAGGGGAGGAGGAGGACGAGGAGGAGAAGGAGGAGGAGGAGGAGGAGGAGGAGGAGGAGGAGGAGGAGGGAGGAGGCGGAGGAGGAGGAGGAGGAGGGGATCGGTCGGGTTCGCGCACGCCGAGGGCGCCTGTGCCATCGGTGCAGCCGCCGCGCGGCCGCTCAGCGGCCGCAGCCGTCACCGGCCGGTCTCCCGGGAGAAGCCGCGGTCGCCCTCGCCACTTGCAGATTTGGTGCTCGCGCTGTCAATGCTCTGCTCTCCTAGGGCTTCGCAGCGTCGTACGCACCTTGCTTCTGCCTGTCCGAGCTCTGTAGCTGCCCGCACGCCCTCCTGTGCTCAGCTGCGTTCTTCTTGCTCGTTGTGGACACTGCGCAGGCCTGACGAAAGCTTGAGAGGTCCCTTCCAATGTGTAGGTCGTCGTCGCCGGGTCGGCCCACGGGCCCAGCCTCCTCTCGCACGCTCAGGTGGGCCTGGAGGACCTGTTCAGGGGAATCGTGGAGGCGGTGGTGCGCTGGGAGGAGATCCGCCAGGCGAATCTGCACACGGGCCCCACCCTCCGAGGCGCCGACGACCCCGAGCCGAGCCGTCACGTCGTAGCAGGGAGAGGATCTGCACACCGTACCCGTCCCTGGGACATCATCGGCCCCCGAGGAAAACGGGAGCGGTGTACAGATTTGCCCGGTGGAGGAGAAAACGCTCATCGGCCGTGCGCGAAACGTGGTCATCCCCTTGTTAACCCTGGTCACCACCATGCTGCCGTGCCTGGGGCGCGTCATGAGCGGCCAGCCCTTCTGGGGGGGCGACTGGCAGACCACCCTGCAGATCGTGTTTTTCCTTCCGCCCATGCTGTTCTACGCGGTCCCCTGCTCGGGCTTCGTCTTCGTCGGCGTCCGCGATATGCACCGGAGGGAGGGAAGTGTGGTTGGGGGGAGTGGAGAGGGGTCGATGATCCTCAGGACGTGTGTTAGCCCAACATGTTTCAGTCGGGCACGCCCCTCTACAGGAGGAATATTCGAAAATAGTAAAGAAAAAGTCTGGTGACGATGTTCGAGTAGTTTTGATTGTTGTTGAGTATAGTTTAAGAATGTTTGAGTTGTCGTCCAAAATCCGCCTGTAAGGGGACATGCCCGACCTAACAATATGTGCGTATCCCGCTCGGACAGCACGCAGCCCCCGTGTCGGCCTGCATCATATGCTGCTTACGTCGTGGTGGAGGGCTTATTCGGTGGCCAAGCACACGCTGGCGCTCTAGCACACGCCCTGAGGATCGCCGAAGGTCAGCGGCAACGATAAGGGGGGGATGGGCATAGGGGGGGGATGCATCGACCCCGAATCGCCCATTGATCGCCGATAGGGGCCCGATAGCCCCAACCTGCACAGGAAGTTGCGGATTCATTATCGGGGGCCTATCGCCGATCCCCCTTATGCCAGTCCCCCCCGATCCTTGCCCCTCGAAAGGGGGGACGAGCAAGCGGCCGTGCGACCGCGCCACAGCTTCATCGGGAACGTTCCAGTCGCGCAATGCCGCTGGCCCCTCGGGGGCGCTCCCGGGGGGCGTCGGGGCTGCCTGAGAGCCGTCTTTGCGGACCCTGATGTCGTGTTGGAGGGCATCTGGGCACCGTTGGATAAGTTTGGGCCACGCTGCGCATGCCAACCCCTCGCGCCCCGGGAGGCGCAGACCCCTTGGGGCTGGGACGAGCATGTGTGCACGACAGCGGGGCCGGTGGGACGAGGCGGGAGGGGAGGGGATAAGATTTGAGTCGGGCATGCCCCTCTACAGGAGGAAGGCTCACGAGTAGTAGGGATAGTCTGGTGACGATGCTTCGTGCTCTCTTGACTACTTTTTAGTACGTCTGACTATTTTCATGTGTCTTCCAATATCAGCCTGTAGGAGGACATGCCCGACCTAAGATAGGATGGGAGGGGGACACATCGAAAAGCAATAAAGCGGAGGGACGGGAGGCGCCTCATCATCATCAAGTCGGTCACGGCGCTCTTGTCCACGCGATCCTGCGACCGCAAGATGCAGCCGAGTTTGCCCCCAGAGGTCCGCGCCCTGGGCGTGCTGGATCTGAAGGACCCCGGCGCGGGCCAGGAAAGCCCACGACTGCTCGGGGGGCTTGTCGGCTACGCGTCAGAGTGGCCCTCGGCGGCGAGCGAGGGGGGGAAGTGAGAAGGAGAAGGCCTTCTCAGAGGGCTCGGAAGCCCCCCAGCCTTCTGAGAAGTTTTCGACGCCTTCCCGGAAGACACAGAAAACCGTTCAGAAGGCCGAAGGCCTTCTGAGAAGTCCCGCTGCCTTCTCAGGAGGCCTCCTTCTCGCTTCCCGCCCCTCGCTCGCCGCCGAGACCCTTCGCCGGAGTGCCCTGGGGTACGGGCCCACAGGGGACCCCCGAGCACTGGCTTGCGCGCTTGGGGCTGGGCCCCCCGCGCCCCCCGAAGGCAGCGCACCGGAGTTCACTCGTGCCTGGTGGTAATTTTGGGGTGTCGCCGAGGAAGGCTCGGCACGACCCTCTGGGCCAGGAAGAAGTTTCGGGGGTGGACAGACCTCCTACCCTGACACGTCGATTCGCGAATTGGCCGTTTTCGGTTCGCGGGAGGGCGTCGCGGCCGTCATTTCTGCGGGTCCAGGTCCGTCGGTTTCGGTCCCAGGCCGTTTTCACCAAAGGGAGGTTTACTAAAGGGAGGTTTGTCCACAGCCGAAAGCTGTGGCATGAGCACAAAGTTTGGGAGGCCCGCGCGAGTTGCTCGGATCGGCGCCGCCCTCGAGGGAGATCGAGCGCCGATCCAAGAGATTCGCGCGGACTTCCGACGATGGCATTGTTGGTGCCTCGATGCCTGCTCCCCAGCGTCCAGCGTTGCTTCACACATGGCCCCCCTCGGTCTGGGTCAGGGGCTGTGGCCCGCATGGCGGAGGGGGTCTTATCTGCGTGGGTCTTCCCGCGACCAGTCGAGCCTTCTAGGAGCGCCGTTGGCCCTCCCTGGGGCCGCCGGAGACCTTCGCGCGTTGACCATGAGACCGCACACTATCTGCAGCGAGTACATCCTGTGAGCGCACAGTCCACCCCACCGAGCTGGGCCCCGTGCACATCGATCGCGCCCGAAGGGGCCTCTCGCCCACCGGTGGGATCGATGGGGTCGGCCTCTCGTCTTGGGCGGCAGGCCCAGCAGCGCAGACCGTGGGCGGCTCCGATGGCAGAGGCAGCAGGAGGTCCAGGCCTCCCAAGTGGGGTCCGAGTGGACGGGGTCGAAGGATCGCTCCGCATCGCCGATGCATGGGCGAGGCGGCGCGACGTGAAGCCCGACTTCCTCCACGTCGACGTCGCCGATGCACCGCGAACGTCACAGGTGCATCGGCGATACATCGGCGACGCGGCACAATCTTCTCACCCCATCTCATCGGACCCCACTCGCGAGGCCTCTAGGAGCCTTTTCCCCAAGACAGAGCTTGTCAGCCACGCGCAGAGGGGGGTGGGGGGAGGGGGGGGGGCTTCTTAGAAGCACCCCTGCTTCTTAGAAGGCGCGGGCCTTATCTATAGATGTGAGGCCCGCGCCCTCTAAGAAGCAGCCTGCTTCTAAGAAGCCCTCCCCCCCCCCACCCCCTTGTGCGCGCCGCCAAGCTTGTACCGATGGGTCCTGACTCAAATGTTCAAGCATTGTGGTGGGCGTGCTGGGTTTCCCCGGGCGGACGCCCGTGGCCGCCTCCTGGGCGCCTCGTGCGCTGGTTGAGTGTGCGGTGGTTTCGTGATCGTTGTTTTATTCCATCGCTTCGCTCACTCCGCCGGCCCATACAGTCGGGGCCCTGAAGAAGGAACCCTTTTCGTTGGGAAGGGGCTCCACGTTCCTTAAGTGTTTCACAGCTTGCCTCAGGCTTTCCTTATGTTTCGACAGGGAATCGAAGGTTAACTTATGGAAAAAAGGGGCCTCGTTCCTTATTTAATCGCTTCGCTCATTCCGCCGGCCCGTATTGTGCCATCGCAGGCGTTTGTTTGCGCATTCGTGGCCTCTTGGAGCCTCGGTGGGGCCGTTTGGGGCCTCTTGGCGCCTCTTTTTAGGCCTCTTGGAGAACTCGGGAGGCCTCCAGGGGGCCTCCTGAGCTCTCGTGACGGTCTCTTGGGGGGCTTTCGGCGGGCTCTTGGCGGTATTTGTTGGTCCTCTTGGGGCCTGGGGCCTGACGTTGTTGGTCCTCTTGGGGCCTCACGGGAGCTTATTGGGGCGTCTTGGGGGTGTCTTGGAGAGTCTCTTGGGGCCTCTTTCGGGGTCCTGGGCGCCTTCTGGGGCGGAGGGCTCGATTTTTCAGTTCTCGGTTCCCTTCTTGAGCCCCTCTTGGGCCCGTCTTGGGGCCTCTTGGTCCGCCTTGGGCAGCACTTGGGCCGTCTGGGGGGCGCTCTTGGGCCGCTCCGGGGCCGTCTTGGGAGCCTCGTGGGCCGTCTTGGAGCAGTCTTGAAGGCCTCTTGGGCCCTCTTGGAGCGTCCGGAAGCGAAAAGGCCAGAACGCAAAAAAACATCGAAAAAACAATGAAAATCAACGATTTTGGCAACTTGGGGCCCTCTTCGGAGGCCTCTTGGAAGGCCCTTGGAGCGTCTTGGAGGCCTCTTGGGCTGTCTTGGGGCCATCTGGGGCGTCTTCGGGCGATCTTTGGCCGTCTCGGGCCTCTCTTGGACCGTCTAGAAAGCTTCTCGGGGCCCTCTTGGACCGATCTGGAGCCCTCTTGGACTCCGAAACAGAACTCCGGCATCTCTGACCCGACCTTGCCGGGACCCCGGGACTTGCCGGGGACCTTGCCGGGGACTTGCCGGGACCTTGCCGGGGTACTTTTCGTCCGGGGACCCCCAGGGGCCGCCCCGCGCGCGCGAACTAGAAATACTGTTAACCAGGTACCGGAGATCTTAGCACGCCCTGGCCCGTTGGGCCGGCGAATTTAGGGTTCCTTAGGTCAACGCCCCGACTGTATTGTAGCATCGCTGGCACTTGCTTGCGCGTTTGGGGGGGCATTTGGGGGGCCGCTTGGGGGCCTCTTGGGGGCCTCCTGAGGGCCTCCTGAGGGCCTCGTGGGGGCATCCCAGGGCCCCTTGGAGTCGTCTTGGGGGCCTCTTGGGCTGTCTTGGAGGCCTCTTGGGTCGTCTTGGGGCCCTCTGGGGTGGTTTCTGGGCCCCCTTGGGGGCCTCTTGGGCCGTCTTGGGGCGATCTTGGGGGTCTCTTGGGCCGCTTTTGACGTTGTGAATGCTCAAGTGGCGAATATGCTAAAAAATATACGTGTTGCTTAAGAACTGGGACGATTTGTGCCTCCTGGGGCCCTCTTGGGACGCCTCTTGGGGGCCGGTTGGGGCGTCTGGGAGCCATCTTGGGCGTCTCGAAACGAACGTGTGGCATGTCGGAGCACTCTGTAACCATCTTGGGGGGCTCTTGGCGGCCTCGCGGCCCTTCTTGGGGCTCTCTGGAGGGCCTCGAGGGCGGCGCCCAGAAGGAAAACCATCTCTGAGTCGGACCGCCCGGGACCTTGCCAGGGCATTTTTCGCCCAGGGACCCCCAGGGGCCGCCCCGCGCGCGCGAACTGGAAAGATTGTGAACCAGTTACCGGACCGGAGATCTTAGGACGCTTCTGGCCCGTTGGGCTGGCGAATTCATTGTTTTGCCGATCGGCGCGGGCCCTCGCACCCCCCCCCTTCCCCCATGGAGTAGATCTTGGCTGTTTTTGGCGCCTGTTTCAGGCAGGTGAGGTCTCTCCCACACCCCACAGGACGCACGGCCCCAAACAGACGCTATTAAGCAAGAGGTCCAGGGCCAGACCTCCCCCCCCCTCCGCCCAATGTCGAAACGCCGAATACAAAAACGTTCACTTTTCGACCGATCGCCGCCCGCGGGTACCCCGTAGGCCCCTTCGGCGCTGGCTGGGTGTTCTGGGCGCTCGCCCTTACGCCACGCGCGCCCCGAGCGGCGCCTGGGCGTTCCAGGTTTCGGCCCAGTTTCAGCACTGCAAGCATACATTGCAAGCATGCAGAAATAAAGATGAAAAAAAGATGACAATATAAATACATCGCATATATACACACACTAAAAAAACTACGGCCATGGCGAGGCCGGATTGGAAGGCCCACATTCGCGCGATGGTTCTCCAGAACCGTAATCCACGGCCTTCCCGTCTTGAATACACAGTCTCACCATCCCAGCCGTACCAGGGCTAGAGCTAAACAAAAGTTGGGCGAGTACGTGGACCGCGTTCGTTTTGATCTCGTGCCAAAGCAGAGGCAGAACCACAGACAGAACGAGGGATACCGAAAATCAAACGAAAACGAAAAGCACTGTTGAGCTCGAGCCCTGAGCCGTACCTTTCTGTTCCCCCGCATGACACATGCCACCTTGCAGTGGGGGCCCATGCCAAGAAGCACCATGCTTGCCTCCAGGGTGTCCTGGGTTTCTTGGGCGTCGATGCTTTTGCTGTGGAAAGCGCGACGCTGCCACGCCAAAGCTCAAGGGACGTCCTGGGGTCTCAGGGTTAGGTTTCTTGTGGAAGGTTTCTTGTGGACTGGCCTCCGCTGTAGGCCCCTTCAGCGCTGGTTGGATGTTCTGGGTTTCCGCCCTTTCGCCGCGCGCGCCCCGCGCGGCGTCTGGGTGCTCCAGGTTTCCGCCCAGCTTCTGCACTGCAAGCATACATCCCTTATGCAGAATAGTTTAATATACGACGCCCATGGCGAGGCCGGAGTGAAGGGTTCACCTCCGCGCTTTGGCTTTCTCAGAGGTCTCAGGGTTGGGTTTTTTCTTTTGTGGAAGGTTTCTCGTGGACTGGCTTCCGCTGTACCTCTTTTTGTTGCCCGCAGCACACACGTCACCTCACAGGTGCGCGTTTGTAAGGTATCCGCATTACAAGTACTACCACGAGGGGCCCCACGCGCGCACGCCCACGCCAAAATATATAGGTTCAAAGCGTTGGGTTCTCAACCAAATGTGCTCGGTCTATGGGCCACGGTTGCTTGGCATCGCTCGGGCGTGAGCATTTTGTTCTCGGCAAGGGCCATCGAGGAGCACGCGAAGTCGTCATCTCGCGAGACATGCACGCACGAAAAAACAGACAACGCACGGAGGATGGCGTCCGAGCGATGCCGAGCTTACTTGTTGTCCATCTCTAAAGTAGCAGGTCCCTCAGCTCACGCATTCGCCGCAACCACAAGTAAGCAACAGTTTCGACATGGGGTCAAATAAGATCACGAGGGGCCACGCGCGCGCGCATGCCGAACTCGGTATACAAACATCTCGCACCTCCTGCTCCTCCTCCTTCTCCTCCTTCTCCTCCTCCTTCCCCTCCTCTCCTCCTCCTCCTCTTCCCCCTCCCCCTCCTCCTTCCCCTCCTCCTCTCCTCCTCCTCCTCCCCTCCTCCTCCCCCTTCCGACAATTATGGTAAACTATACTTGTTGGCCACACGCGCGCGTCCCCGCGCGCGAGCATGTCAACATCATTGCAAAAACTTTCAGCATCTCATTCCAAGGTAGAGGTGTTCAAAGTGTTAGCTTTAAAAGATCGGCGGCACTCCAACAGAAGTTGTGCCCGAGTTTTTGCGCGCGCACGTTCGCCTCATCCTCAGCTCCGTCGTCGTCATCTCCAACGTCATCATTACTTGCCTTCATGGCCATCATCTCCATACCCTTCAACATCGTCCGCCCGCTCAAAAGCAAGCGGAGCCCGCGATGCGCCAACGCGGCTGACTAGCGGCCTGAGGCCAGGTGGCACAGACCCCAGGGCAGCCCTGCGCTGCCATGACCCCAAGGGCGTCGATTTGAGGAGCTTGAGATATGGAAGTTCTTGCTGTGGGAGCTTGGGCGCATGGCAAACTAAAATCCCCGCGACATCGGCATCGTCGTTGGTATCATTACCACCGTCGTCATCGTCGCCGTTGCCGCCAACGCCACCACCATCGGCCTCGTCGCTGCCGGTGTCCCTCGTCACAACAATCACCCTCCCGCCCGAGCCATGACTCTGCATGATAAGGGTCCTCGCGTCACTGCGTCAGTTGAGTGTTGCTAAGAAGTTACGGATGGGTGGCTGGGTGGTGTGTTT